CCCTGATATAACACTGTGCCAAGGTCACGTTACCCCTAACTCAGGGTCGTGCTCACCCCTGACATGTTAACCAAGGTCACGATACCCATGTAACAATCCCGGGCCGTGCTCACCCCTGGTCATAGGTGTGAAGAACCACAATCACATCTCATTCACATTCCACACAATATCTCATAGTTCAATTCCATACACACGTCAGATAAGTCCAAAATAATGGGTTTCATACACCTCAAGCAATTCACATCTAAATCATCAATTTTTATCAAGTAATATAACAATAACATTCATAAATTAATATAATAATCAATGGAATTATCATTTTAATATAATTTTAACATAAACAGTAAAACCCCCAATTATTCCAAAACCTAGCTCACAGACACTTTTTTAACAATTTTGTTCTCTCTCCCAGATCATCATTCTTACAAAATTATTAGCATATTTCTAATCCTCAATACATATACAGTTTAATGGGATCATCAATTTCTCAAATAGAAATTATTATAAAATTACTCATAATCTTAAGGGACTCTTCCTCTACCCAATTCCTCATGTAACTCTACACATAAATAATTTCCATTTCCCCCGTACCTGGATAAACAGTAACTTAAGGATCTGGTTGATCTCCTCCGTTGGGTTTCCCTCAGTCAACAGAGACTGCAGAAGAAGAGAAAAGAGAAAAGAAGTAAAAGAGTCAGAAATGAAAGGTGTGCTCTTTGGGAGTGCCAGAGCACTCTATTTATAGGCATTAGGCATCGCCGGAACAACCCGTTTCGAATCCGAAAAGGCCTGTTCTGGGTTCTGACGGCATGTGTAAAATTCACATCCAGAACGACCTGTTCTCAAACCAGAACGGTCCGTTCTGGGGTTGCACTTAACCCACAACGGCCATATCTGGAACGACCTGTTCCCAATTAGGATTTTAGGCATTTTTGGTGATTTGGAACGCCCCGTTCCAAATTGGGAACGCCCCGTTCCCATCTAAAATTTGTAGTCAATCTTTATATTTTGGAACTGCCCGTTCGAGTTTGGGAACGGCCCGTTCTGGGATACAAAATCACTCTCATTTTAGTAGTTTAGAACGGCCCGTTCCAATTTGGGAACGGTCCATTCTGGGCTACTAATCACCCCTATTGAGCCTTTGGGCCTTGAATCAATCTGTGAAAATCGGGCTGTTACAACCTACAACTCAGTCTCTTCAAACAAAGGCAAGCATGAAGAGAAGCTGCAAGAAAACAAAACTATTGACAGAAGTTATTGAAATTTCCTTAAGGTAAGCGTCTTCTAATAAATGGTTTTATTTGGATGCATGTATCATATACAAAAATAATGTATGAATGTATGTGTATGTCAACCTTTATAATGTATGTAAATAGTTGAATCTTAATTTAAATTTATATTTTTATTATTCGTATTTTTATATGTAAAATATGTGTATGACAGTTACCGTAAGAGTAACCTCAAATGTCAACAAAATGAAGAAGAGCTATTTGAGTTGACTCCCAATAAAAAACATGATCAGGTTGGCAAACAGGATTCACAACAACCAAGAGTAATGCAAGTATTGAAAGAGGTCTCAAATGTCAAATCCACTGTGGAAAACTTAACAGAGGTTGTATGTAATTTGACAAGGGTTATTGCAAGTAACAACCAAATGTTGAGTCCTTCTCATTGTTCTCAAACAAAAAATGGTGTATTATTTATGAACAAAGTTTGTACACAAAATCACTCATCAGCAATGGAGAAACATGCAACAGAGAAAATTATGAAAGAGTTGGCTTTATCCACACAAAAATTGACATCAAAAATTGGGTCTACTGAAAATAGAATATGTCAATTTAAGCCAACAATCCAACCAAAGAAATTATTTTCTAGTTATGAATATGGGAACACTTCTAATATAAACATTTCATACCAGCCAATCATTATTGGAAAATATGAAGGTTGTACAAACGGAATTGATATACCAAGCATAAGTTCATATGCTAATCTTTCCAAATATTGTGGTTTAATTTTCTGTTATACTATTAATTAAATTTTATATTTTTTAGTGGATGCCAGTTTCATTTAGACCACCCAATGATATGATTCTCAATGAGATGGATGCTATTGTTGCGTCTTATATATTTCAAACAAACAAAATAGATGAATTACTTGGGTATGTATTTGTTTATTTCATTTTACATACTTGCATTACACATGAATATTTAATCTTTTACTGAACATAATTTATATTTTCTAAGTCTTATTATAAAATGATATTTAAGTATTAGTCATTGTTATTTTTTGATATAATATTCTTTTTTATTTTGTAAGTTTCATTGTAAAGATAATAACACTTTTTTAATATATGAAATAAATATTATATTCTTATTTTATATTATTTATTGTGAATACTGTATTCTTTCTTCTTTTTAGACAAAATATTTAAATATTATTTATTTGATAATATTTTTATTCTTTTATCATTTGTTATTGATGATATTTAAGAATAATTACATTTACAATTAAATGATCTTATTATTTATCTTTTATATTGTTGAAAAATTTAATTAATAGCACTTTTTCTATAAAAAAAACAGTTAATGAAAATATCAAATTTTATTATAAAAAAAAATTTATCTTCTATATAAATATTTTTTATTAATGCCTTGATCTATTAAACTAATTAATATTTCGGAATATATATTTATAAATATTTTATATAAATAGTGTCTCCCTCCTCTTTATTCTAAACTTCATTACAATCATTCTTCTAGAAATAGGTAACCACGACTCGTTAAATTATTAGATAAAATTATAAAATTTCGGAATCGCTTAAGTTAAAACTATAGCAAAATAATTTTTGCAATTTTTACAAAATAAAATTCCGTGATAATTTTAATTTTTACAATTTTGTAAAATAATTTTGCCCCCCTTGCAGGTAAGTATAGTTCCATCCCAGTGTACAACAATTTGTGTTTGTATAGATTAAAAAAAGTGGCTTGCTAACCAACCTAAGGCAATCATATTACACTAAGGATGTGTTTGTCCTGACTTTTTTTTCAAATTATTTTTCCCTTAAAAATAAAAGTTGAGCTAAACAATTTTTTTATGAAAGGCTCTAAGAAAAATTACGCTACTTTTTTTATAAAACAAATTTTGAAAACAAGTAGCCTTTTATTAAACTAGTGGAGAAACATTTTTTAAGGCTTAAGCGGAGCTTATTTATATAGTCTCCTCTTCGAATCTAATAGACCAAAATCATCATTTTTTTAAAAAAAAAAATTTACTAAATTTTATATTAATGTGTATCACAGACTTTTCATTAAATAATTATCACATATATTAGTTTATTTTACATTACAATCATTTCTTATATTTCTTGATTTGTTTTTAAATTAATTTTAAAAATTAATATTATTATTTTAATTTTTATTACATGAGATAAAATAATGTTATTAAAATAAGTAAAAAATATAGTTAAATGAAAATTGATATTTTAAATTATTTATAACATTCATTTTTAAATTTAATGTAGAGTCCAAACTTCTTTTAATTTTTTTATTCTATAATTTGTAGTTACGTTTTTAAGCTTTTAATTACAATAATATATTTATTAAATAATTTTAATTTACATTCACATAATATTAAAAAAATATTGCTGAATTTTTACATATTTTATCTTTTCAAATTAATACTTGTATGTATTTAATTAACATTACATTAAAAAGAAAATTTATTTAAATTTATTTTATTAGTTAAAATATTCTATGAAACTTTTAAATTTCTGTTGAAGTAAAAGAACATTAAAATAGTTAAATAAACTTTTGATATTTGAAAATATTTATAATTTCCAATCTTTAAATTTAATTCATATTTCATTTTTTAAATTATTAATTTACAGTTAAGATTTTGAATTCTCAAAATAATTTTAAAATAAATTAAATTCTTTAAATTGAATTATTAATTTAATTATTAGAAAATTCTTTTCATATGTTTCAGATTATAATCTAAATAGTTTTAAACTTTTAATATATATTGACATTGTTAAATTATATTTAAAAAATATTTTTTATTTTTAAAATTGTACTTGACAATAATATAGAAGGTTTTAAAAAAAATTTAATTTGTAATTTATATTTAAAATTATCTTACCTAATATTGATTTATACGTATAATCTAATTATGATAAGTCATAAACTAATTTATTTTATCAAACATTTTTTTAGCTTAAAAGGAGTTTAAAAAATAATTAAAAAGATTATCAAACTTATATTTTTATTTGAACTCTTATTTATAATTTAGATTTGATATGCGAAATTTTTTTACTATCTCAAGTTTTCATGTTTAATAGTTAAATTGTACTTAATAATATAGAAGGTTTTAAATTTTTTTAATTTGTAATTTATATTTAAACTTATCTTACCTAATATTAATTTATACGTATAATCTAATTATGATAAGTCATAAACTAATTTATTTTATCAAACATTTTTTAGCTTAAAAGGAGTTTAAAAAATAATTAAAAAGATTATCAAACTTATATTTTTATGTAAACTCTTATTTATAATTTAGATTTGATATGCGAAATTGTTTTACTTTCTTAAGAATTTTAAATCATGAATCTCTGTTTTTCATGTTTAATAGTTATTTTTAAAAAAAATATGTCTCTCCTTTTTAAAATAATATATATATATAGAGAGAGAGAGACAGAGAGAGGAGAAGGAAGAATTAGTTTCTTTCAAGAATAAGTCTACCTAAAATTACTTCGTTTAATAATTTATGTTTTATATCAAATCTTAACAATCTAACCATTAAATTTAAAGTTTTTAATGTACAGATCAAATCTGCCAATTTTTAAAATTTTGAAAACCATTTGATATTTTATTTCATTAATTCAAATTAACAGATAAATTGTATAAGTTTTGAAGTGGAAGGTCCTACTAACATGAATAAATGTTCTGGGTCAGTTGAGTTTATTGGAGGAATGCAGCCATTAATCACTCCAACAGCACCACTTATTGCTGCATCAACAAAGTCTGATGTCACTCTATAAAGTGCCCTATCCCGCATAAGTCTGCAGTAAAGGAAAACTCACCCAAGAAATTAATGAGTCAGGTCCTCACCAGCAGAGAAAACAAATGAACATTCATACCTTTAAAATCACCAGTTTGAGTTAGAAATTAAAAGGTACCTCTCCAGTGGAGTTGTACGGGGCAATTCTCGACATGTTTGCAACTCTTCATTCCACTCTCTTGGCATGCCAAGAGGCTCACTTCCATATAGAAGACTCAAGGAATTCTCAGCCCTGTCTGAATTGCGTCTGTGGTCTGCCAATGAAAGAAGCGAAGTTACAAAACAAATCAGATTATCAGACAGCATTCTCAATTACAATTCACTCATAAGTTATAGATTAAACTATTAAATATTTCTACTACTAATGATAACAAGATTGATATTTGCTTTGCTGGGATGAAAGATAGATCTTTAAAACAAGCATATTAAATGAAAATTTTCATGCCACGAGTTGACTTCAAGTCATAAGAAATGATACAATTAGAATAATTAATATCTTACTACCTCTAACCAACCAAAGTTTCTCAACCTTCTGTTTATTGGAAAAAAAAATTCAATAACCTTTTATCAACACTAAATAAAGCTTCAAATCCATACTAAGTTATAGTGTCGGGACCAATGAATAACTAAAAAAAAAGTTTAGCATAAAAGCTTCAAAAATTAACTTCTATTTTAACAGCTAAAATTGTTTTCAAATTTAATATTTCACAAGTATTTATAGCATCTATCATAGACAAAGTATGAAATGAATGCTTGGTCAATGGGACTGCCAGGAAGCATACATACGTCTACGATTTGGAAAATTTAAAATTATTAGACACAACACCTATGATATAATATAAAAAAAATTAATCTAAACTTAGCATAAATTAAAAAATTTAAATCACAAGAGAGAATTCATGTATTAAAATTGAGCATGTCATTATAAACATAACAAAATAAAATAAAAATTTGTCTAATTATCGTGATATTCTATTTAGTATTGGTATACAAGTTAAAAAAATAAAAGCATGAAAGTAAAAATGCAATTAAAAGAATTTGAAGTGTCCAAGCAATATATCCAACATGAACACATATTTGACCCGGTTATGACATGACGTGGCTACTGTTTAGAAGTGGTCATGCATATTAGATGGGCTAACTTTGTTTTTAATTGAAAAAGGCATAATAATGTTAATGGGAATAGAGATTTTCAGGTTACCTCATAATAAAATCAAACAAATATAATTTGAGTAACAATAAAAAAAAAATAATAATATAACCAATAGCAATGAGCTTCGTAAAAGTATCAGGGAATTTCTCCACACTATGCAAGTTTATTCGACAACCAAATATCTAGTCATAGCATCACTTGCCACTGATGACACAAGGTAAATAATAAGAAGCCCGCAAGTAAGCTAACCACCCAACTACACAAAGTTTTGGATATGTCAAAAGGAAGATTTTCTCTTCTGAAATTTGCTCTCACAGAGGACAAAATGAGAAAATGTATCACCTACCACTTAAAGGAAGAGCAACCTGATTATCCAACTCCCGGAGCACATGTTACTATAACAGAATTGAAAAGATAATACTGATGAAACAAGTTGCCAGTGACAGAGCTCACCAGGAACTGGGTATGATCCAAGCCACGAATTAGGCATCAACACAGGCTGCACATTTTCAAAACAATGTACAGCAGCTTTCTGCTCCAAAATTTCACAGAAAGCTTCATAATTGAAGAAACCGTGTAAGCTTAGGTTCTCATGGCCAAAATTTGACAAACATAAGTCTTGAACAATAAGTACTTAAATACACTTCATTACCTTTTTGGAACATGGGGCTAATCTTTTGCAAGAGGGCAGCAAGAGTTGTTGCTTCAATAGTAGTTTTGCTTGGCCTTGGGTCAAAAGTCTCTGCAGTGCATGAGTTAACATAAAACATCCTAGTACTTCCCGTTATACAAAACGCATTACCCTCCAGAGTTGTCACATCCAAATAAAGCAAATCTCCAACTAGCCTGAAAAGCACAGAAAACCTTATCAAATTCCTTAAAACTGAATACAGATAGGAAATGACATCAATTGAAGAGAACATTTGTCGATTTACCTTCTATATCTTGGGGGAGGATTGAAGGCCGAAAACAATATGCTCTCCACACACTTAACATCCTCCAGTGGGGATGGTGGCACATTACTCAATAAACCAGAGACATCCGCCATATAACCAAGCCCGGGAAGCTCTGGAACCTCATTTTTCAATGTATCTGATATTCATGGAATGCAGAAGCAGAATAGTAACTATATATTCCAAAGGCAACATGTAAAACATTAACATGCTAACATAGCTCAATCAACCCGTATCACAGGTTCAACCCCTCACTTCCTTTTTTATTCTTGAGGTTTTAAAATACAGTCTGCAATTGATGGCAAAAATTTTGGGGTTTATGTGATCACATCGCAACACAATTACGGTCGCATTTAGCTGCAATTTTCCACAACATCAAAGATCGCAACAAAATCACAAATGGGACCACAATTTAAAACATAAGGCTTCCTGAAAAAGTAAAAATAAAAGGGGTACTAAACAGCAATGAAGGGAAGAGAATTATCCCATACCTCCTGAATTCGGTTCTTTATTTTGTTCTTTCTCATTCTGCGGGGCAGGTGAGGTGGAAAAGGGAGCATTGAGGTTAGAAAGGGAAAGCAACTCTTTAGTATGCCGAACATGAACCCTTATGGACCTTTCATCATAAAATGCTGCAAACACAAATTCCCCGCATCATAATCTGCCAGCTTTAAATGTTCAACAAAGAATGTTTTATGCCCTGTTTGAATAAACTTCATAATAATTCCTTTTAGAAAAAGGAAACAAGAAAGCAAAATGAATTACACTTATCTTCTCCTATATAAAAGTTAAAATTTGCTCATGCATAAGTAACTGTAATTCATTTAACCTTATTATTTTCTTCTGCTGTAAATGCTTAATGAGAAATTTATCCAAAGCGAACCCTCGACCAACTCCTCCAGATTTCGCAAAAATCAACATTAATTAATTTAATTAACATACCTGGAACCATTTCCAAGGAAAAACCGCCCTTGGAAATATCAGACACCTCCGAAAATACATTGTAATCATGGAGGTGGTGAACGCCGCCATCCTTCTCGCGCAACAACAAGTCATAGCACGTGACGTAACACGCTTCCTTAGACTCAAGAAGGAACTGTTTTACGTCCATGACAGTGTCCTCTTCAGTCAGCTGCCAATATAACAAACTCATCACAAATTGCGGAACTACAAACAAATCAGAACCACGTTCTGAACAGAACAGAACAGAACCTCACACGTCAAAATTCTCACCCGAATTTCAATCTTTTCCCCTGTTATCGTTCTGATGAAAGAAAGATAACCCTGAGGATCACCTGCATGATCAACTCGCACAATATTAATCAATATTATTAATTTTTTTTAAATTTACTTTAAATTGAGAATCATTCGTTAGAGATTTTATCGAATCAACCTTGTTTTCTTTTGGTCTCCGCTGCATTTTGCGTTTCATGAACGATTGCGGTGTTCTCGGAAGCGGCATTGTTGTTGTTATTGTTGTTACGTGTAGCTTTTCTTCTGCCCCTGCCTTTGCCTGGTTTCGCTGCCATTTCTGAATTTCAAGAGAAAATCGTGTCAGTCACACGCAGTTACTGTTACATATAAAATAATGATGGTGACAGTGTGAGGATATCGAGAAACCTGACAATGACGGAACAAAGAGGAGAAAATAAGGGTTTTTACTGCGGAAACAGTGACAATGAGGTTTTAGTGTATCTGGTGTGATACAAATGATGTGATCACCGGCTATATCAAGACAGCAAAGGAAGAGGAGTTAAAGTGGGCTGGGCTTTTTAAATAAATTAAAAAAAAACTTTTTTATTTGTTACAAAATAACTACCTTTATAAATAAAAATAAATAACTAATTTATAGAATTAATCGGCAATAAAATTATTTCTTCAACAATTTAATATATCTGACATACGAGATTTCCGACACAAACAATTATTAAAGTTTAATAGTAATATATTGACTCTACACTATTATATTAAAAATTATTATTTATGGAAGTTTATTGACTTTACAAAAGTACCTTACAAATGAGTTGTGATCGATTATCGGTACAAAACATTTTGTATCGAAAGTGCATCATCATTAATCAACATATTCGAACAGACCAAAAGTGCAGTTTTTTTTTTTTACCAAAGGAAACTTGCATCATCATTAATTAGCATAGTCTTTATCATTTCTATTTTGTCAGATACATCATAGAATCTGTTTATGGTGGAATATGTTTTATGAGTCCTTGTTATTTAGACTAG